TAATACCTATTGCATAGGGGTACCACAGTCATTTCTGATATACTGAATCCTTGGGGTCGGGGATTGCATCCGGACACTTATGGAGCATGTGCTCAACATGACCTGGGTCAAGAACCAGGTCAACCTCTGGATACAAACGGTGCTCCAAATTCACACAATGTGTTCTACCCACGCTATGAGAACCTATTTCAAGAAAACCAACATTAATTAGTTTATGAACTACATTAACAGTATCATGATGCATGATGGATGATGATGATGATCAATGATAGGTATACCTAGTAAAGAAACAACACCAGGGGTGTCGATGCCGATGTTCTTGAACCATTCAAGAACAACAATCATGGATTCATTATGATCTGGGAGGTATTGCTCTATAATATCTACCCCAGTTTCCAATCATTCACACATGAGCTGATCTTTCCCATCGGAAATTTCTCCAATCTCTGAATCCTAACCAAAAAATTGTTATCCTGGACCTTTAATACATTGAAATCGGTTCACCTTGTTTACCGATTGATTGTTATGGGAAAGGAATTCAGAATTACCGACTTCGATGTCAGCGGTGGAGATGACGACGACCGAGTTTTGGAGTGGGAGGTTGGGTTGCCGAACGTCGACGACTTGTCGTCGTTATCACAGTTTAATGATATCGGCGGAGATGGCATCGACTTTCAGCATCACGCCCGGTCCTCACCGGAGTATGATTGACGTTGACCGCGCTTATCGTAACGTAGTTTCAAGTCTCTAAGGGCAATCGCAACAAAATCAGGTGAATAAACTTACTGATTTTAAGTCGTTTAGTGATGATAGAGAGGAAGAAATGGTTGTGGAAGGTGATGAGACCGTCGATCTGACTCCAGACGGTTCCGATTCGAGGAAATTATGGAGAGTTGATAGCGGCGACGATCATTCTTCCACAAAGTCATTGAAAAGAATTTGTTTGGTTTGGACGCCTCAACTTCACAGTGATAACAACGCCACCACCAGTACTAGGTTTAGGACATAAAGTGAGGCCAAAAGGCTTGTTGACTTCAACTTCGGTCTCCTTTCAAGCACCTGTGGTCATATGCTTCCAATTTATGATGAATCCATACCTAAATGAATTTCCATGGTCATATGCTTGACTTTCTGATCCTAGGAGCTGATCAATGATGACAAATCGATGTGTAAAAAAACTTTATAGATCATTGTTGATCGATCTCGATGAATCGATGATCATGAATCAGGCGATTTAGGGCTTCAAATATCGCAATCGAAGGTGAACACGAACGTTTTTGATATATAGGTTCGTAAATTCTTCACCGATGATGTGGATATGAAAGATTGTTGTTGGTATCCGACGTTTATTGACGACGGACGTAGAGGTGGACCGATTGAGGGAGGATGGAGACGAGGGGAAGAGATACGGTGGAGACGTGAGAGAGAAAGAGAGAGAGATCTGATAAGGAATGGTGATCAGGAGAGGTATGTGTATGAGTCAATTTCTATAACCCTAAAATGCCCCTAATTGCATTTAATTTCGATGCCCCGTCCTTCATTTTCCACTTATTACAAAATGCCACAATGCATCTTGACCTTCCCTTTTTTTGATCCAACGCTCCACTTTTAGTTCTCGGGAAACTATGAGTTCTCAAATGATCTTTCCTCTCTCTCTCTCTCTCTCTATATATATATATATATATATATATATTATATACTATATATATTATATATATATATATACATATATATGCAAGTTTTTTGAGAACCAAAAAAAGCGTGAGAACTTGAGAACTACTAATCAAAACATCATTTTTCAAAACCAAACCACAAATATTAACGAAATGCAACATCTAAGTCATATATAGGCTCCAAAAAATTGAAGATTTATTTTTGAAAAATGTTTATATATGCATTGCTGATGCATGCATACATATCTGCATCCACATGACTGTTGATGCATGCATGCATATATGCATCCGCTGTCTATATTATTGTTGATTCTTGTGTCTGCATTCCATATGACTGCTGACACGTAGTTTTCAACTGTTGATGTCTAGTTCGCAAGTTCTCACGCTTTTTTAGTTCTCACAATAACTCAACCATATATATATATATATATATATATATATATATATATATATATATATATATATATATATATATACACACACACTTAGGTTCAAATGAGAACAAATATGAAATCGAGTACGCGAGAACAAATATGAGCCACTAATTCTTTTAAAAAAGCGCCTGTTTTTTTTAATTAGATTGGGGTATTTTTGTAATCATTATTTTTATGTTTTTGTAAACACCTCTGATTAATGTTTTGAGATTTACCAGATCATCGATTCTTCATCAAAAGTCTTCAGCTATTCATCCAAAATCATTAATTCATCATAAAAAAACCTCCATTTTTCATCTAAAAAGACTGATTTGTAATTATTGTTCAACATTTTCTAGATGTCTAGATTCAACGATCTGAAGAACAACTATTAGAAATCACCCAGATTTGAATAACAACTCTTAGAAATTGCCTAGATTTATCGATCTCAACATTCTCTAACGTCCATCGATTATAAAAATCCATCAATCGGATCTTCATCAACATCACAGACCAATCAATGATAGAAATTTATCAACGATCATCAGGTTTTTCACAACCTCAATGTTCAGGTAATAAAACATGCAAAATCTAGTTGTTCATCGATTTTTTCATAAATTTTTTAATCTAAATCTATTGGTTTTTCATGAATTTTTGTTGGATTTGGTGTGATTTGTATTATTCTTGTTTACTTCTTCATGTTTTTCCACTATTAATGAACTTCAGTTTTATGCACGACAATTGTTTGCTAAAATGTTCCAAAGTGTTTTTTCATATTTTTTAATCTTAATCTTATGGTTGGTCATTGATTTTGATTTTGTATTTTTTGTGTTCAATTCTTCAATTTTCCACTGTTATTGATCTTAATTTGTATGTACACCAACTGTTTGATGAAATGCCTCATAGAATGTTACTACAATTTTTATATTTATTCACCTATGAATAATGCATAACATTTCATACTTTCTTTATCTTCTTAATAAACATATAAGTTTATTCACATGTGAATGTATTTTTTCTTTATATGGTATAATTACATGTGAATATTACAAAATATTTTTTGTTAACTTGGTATCAACACATATGAATATAATATGATATTTTTTAACATGGTGTAATCACATGTGAATATTACATAATTATTCTCTTACTATGGTATATGAATACGTGAAGTTGTATTCACATGTGAATATAACATTGTACATTGAGTTTATTTGGTATATTCACATATAAATCTTATATTATATGGTTTGTGTATATGATATATTCGTATATGAAGGTATATTCACATACGAACACCATATAAAAGTTGTATTCACATATGAATATTATAATATACATTTAGTTTATTTGGTATATTCACATATGAATCTTATATTATATGTTTTGTTTATACGTTATATTCATATATGAAGGTATATTCACATATAAATACCATATAAAAGTTATATTCACAGATGAATATATCATGTAATATTCACATGTGAAAATATTGTCACACCTCAAAACCGGAACGGCGGAAACGTTCTAGGGTGGAGGACGTCATGTTTAGTATCACAAGACATGCATCATAGTAAGCAAAGTAATAAACAACCATTTCATTAGAAAGAAAGTGTTTACAAAGTATGTGATTCACATAATATAGAATACAAAGCAAATAACAAAAAGAAATGAAGTTATACTACTCCATCTTCTGAATCCCAGTGCGCGAACCTGTCTACTGGTCTCTTGAGAATACAAGTTATTTTGAAAGCGTAGATCAGCATTTAAGCTGGTGAGTTCATAAGATTTAAGTGATGTAGTAAGTAGTAAGAAAGTTGTAGAAAGTTATAGTAAGTTGTAGTAAGTTCTGTTTAGAAAAGTTTGCCTGTTCCTCCAGATAAGTAAAAATGACTCTACAGTCCTTTCTATGAGTAGTAAATGGATACAAGTTATATAAAACTTCGAGTAAACAAAAAATCAGTTGTGTGTATCTGTCCTAAGCCCACAACCAAACAAGGAACAGGAAATGAGGCGGAAGACACGCATCCCATTGTTTGTTAGATCATCGTTGTATATAACCCTGACGTATTCACTCGGTACTCACGGAGTTAACTGTAATAGTTCCTTTAGTTTGATGAAAAGATTCTTTAAGAAAACCCTTATTTCGTAAAATAAAATGGTAACCATAGTAGTTCCTTCTATAATCACTTAGTTTATACTAGCTATATATAATCTAATATCGAACAGATAGTTAATTGTGTGAATCTGCCCTAAGCCCACAACCAAACAAGGAACAGGAAATGAGGCGGAAAGCACACATCCAACTACTTATCAGATATTAATTATATATAAACTTGATGTATAAACTAAGGTATTATAGAATTAACCACCTAAGGTATTTTAAGTTATACTGGTTTAATAAAAATGGATTAAACCCTTTACAGGTAAGTTTCTAGTTTTGTATTCAAAAGTTCTTTATTTGAAAAAGTATGTTTTGTATAGAGAAAATGGTGCATTGAATTAGTGTCCTATGACCTGGCCAATACCTGGTACCCCTTATGACTACTTGGTGTATACGGAACATATATATAGCTAAGTTCGGATAGATAGTAGGCTGGGTGAATCTGCTCTAAGCCCCCAACCAAACAAGGAACAGGAAATGAAGCGGAAAGCACACATCCTACTACCTGTCGGATCCGATTAATATATATCCCTGGATGCATACACTAAGGAATCATAAAGTTATCATTATAGGCCCCCTTCTACTGAATGTACTAGACTAGACTGTTCTGTTTGTCGTTTGTAAAATGTAAGTTTTCCCTAGTTTATAACTATCTTGACTCGAAAATAGTTTGCATTAACTTTCAAGTGGAACTGTCACAAAATGAAAGTATTTGGAAAATATAAGTACTCAGTTGTCTTATGAATTGACATCCTGCTGTACTGATTACCTTAAAACATGTTTGTTTTATTAAGGTCATAATGTGATGAATAGTCCCCACTATACGCTATCCTGCAAGAGATTCTGGGAACCAAACGCGACTTCAGTAAACCAGTTGTTGAGTCGTGAAGTAGGCTCACATTTAAGTTATATGATCATGTATACCCAATTTTACTATCACCTTTTGTTTAGAATAATGAGTTAGTGATTCATTGGTATAATTAGATCATGTAGTTGTTCTATGCTATAGCATCTTAGTATGTTCGTTCTGTTATAGTATCTTAGTATGTTTCTCTGAAGTATTGTATCTACCTCCCTTTTCTCTTATGTTATCGTGTATTGTTTACCTCCCTGTTTCTCTTTCTGTTTCGTGTATTGTATCTACCTCCCTATTTCTCTTTTATAGTATGTTCTAGCATCTAGTATGAACTGAACCTCTAAACTATACCCCTTATAGTTTACTAGTAGTTTACTTGAACTGTTATTAAAAAGACTCATTTTACTACTAAGTTATGCTTGTACTTTAAAATCGGAGTTTTGTTAAACTATAAAGTAAAATAACGTTAAAAGAGTTTTTGAAATGTTTTGATCACTTATAAAAGACATAAGCAATCTTTTGAAAAATGTTTATAACAAACAATTACACAATTTTCATTGTGTTCAACTTGTATTCCCCCCCTTAAAAGCATTTAAAACAGTTAAAAGATTCATTATATGGGTATGAACTCACCTTATGTGGGTGATTCAAACGAATATGCGCGTAAAGATGAGAAGTTCCACGAATGAAGTCTCGAGACACAACGAGTCCTGAATGACATATAATGGCATATATTGGTATAAATATAGGTTTAGAAGCAACCACATGCAAGGAAACACCTTGAGGGACTAGGAAACATTGGAAGTGGAGCAAGTTTGTTAGAATCACATGTGATCCTCTAAGGGATGTTTGCCACTAAATGGTGTTTATGGCCGTGGAGATTTGGGCCGTAAACTCATGGTA